TTTTATAAGTAAACATGATCATCAAATTTTGTATGATGTTATTAAAACTAAATATTACAATTAATATCATATTTTCTTTATTATTAAAATTAAAATTATTATAACTATTTTTTTAAAAATTATTTAAATGAGTGGGTTGGATGCAAATATTATCTAGAAACTTAAATAATGGAATTAGTTCATGTTTGTTTGGCTTGCCTCTTTCTCTCTCTCTCTCTCTCTCTCTATTTTATTTTTCTTCAATTCGTATTTTTTATAGGAAACGAAAATGACACGTGTTCTAAAGATGACATTTACAGTGTTCGATCTTATATATATTAATAAATTAGAGAATCTTAGCGTATAAAGAGAACAGTGGAATGCATCGCGCAGAGCAGGTGTTGAGAAATATAAAAATGGAAAGAAAGGATGATGAAATCACAGCCGTCAGTTTAGATTAAACTGTGGCATTCGTCGTTATATCCAGGGGTTGAGTGGGGACCATCGCACGTGGGCAGATCTACCCACTGACTGCTGACGGCGGAGAGAGTGTTGCGTTTAATTTAGGGTAAACAATAAGATTGGTCAATTTAGTTATTAACGTTTTTTAGCTTAAATTATACATGTTTGATTGTTAAGGACTCAAATGGAAAAAAAATAATAGGTATTGATTTCAAGCATAACAAACATTTTATCTAAAAACATATGTGCTACGTAGATATCTAAAACAGTATCTATGACACATAACACACATTTCTTTTTAGACAAAATTTTCTTTATACTTAAATTTTTATCGCTAAAAATTTATCAAGTGATCTTTATGATAAAATTGAATATTATTTTCACTAGAGATTCTGGTTACGAGCAGTTGTATATGTAAAGTGTGTATGTTATTAACTCAGTTAGAAAATTTTAAACAGTGACTATATTATAATTATTAACACATTTTTAATGCATGATCTTAGTTTTTTCTCTTAGTTTCCTCTCATTGGTTGTTCATCTCTTTTTCTTTCAGTCTTTGTTGACCAGCGATAACACTAATTTTAATGTTGGTTACCGACCGTCTGTATTCTTTATTGTTCTTTTATTTTCTCTTTTTTCAGTAAGTTTGTCTGTATGACACGTTTTCCTCTACTTTTATAACACTTTTTTTTACCTTTATGACACGTTTTCTTCTGTCTTTTGACAATTTTTTTTGTCGTTGTTTTCATTTATCATTTTCTAGGGGTTGATTAGACATCGCTACGATTGATCAAAATGGTAATTATCTATTATATTGTTGATTTTTCTTACTTTGGAATCTTAGATTGGATTTAGATATCCGTTATGCGTTCATGGATAGCTTTTCACGTTGCTCGAGTCTGATTTACGGTTTGTCGGTGGTCTTTCAGTAACTTGATAACCTTTTGAGGTTCGTTTGCTGATGCTAATAGATATGTTTGTAACTATCTTTGTTCGAGTTTTCTTGGTTAAATTTTGATCTTTCTATGTATGATCCTTATGTGATCTTAAGTTGTTAATTTTATTTTAATGATTGTAGAAATTATCCTAATTATGTGCTTAATTAAAGATTATAATTATAAATTTTTATTGTAATTCAAGATGTTTTCTATTTTAAATAAAATCAGTGATTTTTTTAAAAAAATATTAGAAATACTAAGAAGATGCCGATCATATGAGATAATACTCAAGGAATACTGATCCTTGAGATGGGAATGAAATAGGTGAACGAAGGGTGGAGCACAGAAAGCGATAGCATGGGATTACAGAAGGCGACGTTGTAGGGAAACACAGCAGACAAAACCAGGTTGCCCTGTTGGTCCACGTGTCGGCCATCGTGCGCGTGTTTGCATGAAAGCTGTAGTTAGGATTGTTGGAGCCACCCGAAAGCTAATCCCTTAATAAATTGAATGGGAAAACTAATACTTTCAAATTGCTTTATACGCAACCAAGGAAGGCATTATACGGCATTGTTTGTAAGCATTTTCAGTTTCATATTATAAAATAGAAATATCAAGCATCTAAATAAATCCTTATGATCAATTATTAAATTAGTTTAAGTATGCAAATTTAATTCTAGAATCAAAATTAAATATCGTAATATGTGATTAATTGATATTTAAAATATAAAAATAATCTTAGTTAAAAGAACTATCATATAATACTACTTATTATCATGCATCGATTAGTAAGTTTTTGTGAGACTAATCTGCTTATTTTGCTAATAAATTTCTTTTTTACAAAATAAACTTGTCTTACAGAGATTAAAAAAATCACAAATAAGACGTAAAGTACAAATTATCATAATAAACTACAAATTCTTGCACAAATATCTCCATTTTCAAGAACAACACAACGGGGACACAACATTAGAAGAGACAAACACCATTTTACATTACATAGATCAACAGTAAAGAAACACATATTGTGTTATAGAGACTAATATATATAATAAGTAAATAATTATATATTATTTATTACTATTAAAGTAATATAATATGATTAAGATTAATTGAACTATAATAATTAAATAAAGGGTATACTATACGTTTAGCATCATAATTATCACTTTTGTTTTGTTTTGGCCACCTAATTTTTTTTTTCATAATCATATATAGTGTTACGTTTTGGTTTCATTTTGGTCACCTATCGTTAAAAAGTTAAAAAGACTACTGACATGACTTTTTAAAAAAAATTCAATGATGACATACATTACCTTATGGTGACATGTCGACATCACTATTATTTGACGACAGGTGACCAAAATAAAACCAAAACGTAACGTTGGATATGATATTCAGAAGAAAATAGTTAAGTGACCAAAACAGAACAATTAGATACTAAACGTGTAATTTACCCTTAAATAAAACATATATCAAGTATGTGTAGATATCCAAATAAATAATTTCTAATTAACGATGAACTAATTCGAAATTAAGGTTAATGTGCTAGATCGTTTAATAAGATTATGATCTCAAAATTATATATGAGTTAACCTTTTCGACATTTTATGATTATAACACTGAGAGTGTTTTGTCATTAACAAAGACGTTTGCAAGTAAAACAGATTATTATGATACTAAGTATTGAAGAATAATACATACTTAACATAATTGAATCAACACCTTCGTATATATGTTGCATCAATAACATATCTAATCAAATTTAGATTTAATACAAAGGTGAAATTAAGAATTTATTAAACTGATATTAAAAAAATAAAGGGGTCTAATTATATTTAATGATCAATGATCACATAATAGTATCAAATTTTTTTCAATTGAAGGACCTAATACAATTTATTTTATTTATTTATAAAAAATATATATATTTTTTCAATATTAATATACATTAAAAAAATAATTGGGAGGGACTGTAGTCCCTACGAAGTTCCGCCCTTGGACTTAATCAATTATTATATATTTATATCCATATTAAATATTAATCATATATATAATATAATAAACGTACAATACTAGAAATATTAGTGGTTCTTGGTAACATTTTTGTATCAACAGGGTGTAAAAAAATCTGATATGATCGATCCAATCAATTGATCCGTTAATCTAATATGAAATCCAGATATTTGATCCGTCTTTTTTTATTTACAGATAATTCAAATCAAATATGTGGGTGGGGGAAAGGATAACAAGATCATATATAAATTTGATAAATTTCCATTTCATATGAAATCAAAGACTGAGATTAACTACTTATTTTTTTTCCAGTGAATATCTTTTCAGTTCTTATTATTAATTTCAACATTTGATTTTCCCTCATCCAATGATCTTAAAAAGATGTAAAACTTTTTTGTTTTACACTATGTAATTAGATCATAGCCCATATAATATAGTAGAAGTATTGCATAAAGTTACAAATTCTAAAAGTTAAAATTTAAATTTTTGTCAAATTAAATTTTATGTTCGGATTCAAATATTCGGACATTTGATATGAATCCGAAAAATCATATATCCAATTTTTTAGATCAAATACAGATAGCAGTTTATTTGATCAGATAATATCTAATATCAAAAAATACATGTACGAGGACATATGCAAAAAATCAGTTAAGTTTCTATTTTTCGCCTAACTAATTTTCTGATTTGGAAGATTTAATTAGTTGAATATTTAATCAACGATTTATTATAGATAGTCACTATATTAATGTGAAGCGATGTGATGTGCTATTTAAGTTTATATTTTTATGAGTTGATATTTCATTCATTTAGATGTATAAACATGTCGAATATATATATAGTAGATTTAGAATATAATTTTTATTTTTAGTTGTATCATATAGGGACACAAGCATGTTTTTATATCGAGAGTATTTAAAATATATCATTTAGTTCATACATTATATGATAATACTATCAACATATAATATATTATACATGTAACATATATGTACAAAGATAAATTAAGCATATTCTTATAATCAAATTTATAAATCTAATATATTTTTAATTTCATATAGATTATGTTATATTTTTATCTCTTACGTGTGTGTGTATACTAAATATGCTTTTATAATTGTACATTTGTATCATCAACATTTACACAAAACCTTTTTATTAGATTAGTCGAAAAGTGCGCTAAAGCAACAATGCAAAGGTGAGTACTTTTTCGCTCTGTTGTTATAAACGTCAATTCATTCAGTTTGCGCACACAAATATTCCATCAAGTGATCACTCTCTTAAATTCATGCACAAAATTCCCCTGAGGATCCCCCACCCCTGATGTCAGACAATATTCTTTTGTTCTAACCAGTTAACTATCTGAATGAAAGTTTTGTTGAGGGAAAATAAAATAAAACAGCATAACAACTGGTACCATATATACACACATTTATAACAACTCAAACAACCAATTTTTCTGTTTTAATGTATATCAAGATTTTTGGGAAGGATACAAGATAGATACATGAAATGCCAGAGATACAAAGGGGGCAGTTGGATTCGATTATCGAAGTAAACAAGGCGGAAAATTCTATGGGAAATCAACCCCCAGCTTCTTCTTCCTTTATCTGCAAAAGAATTTCTCGTGAAAATTTCGGTTTTTTCATCTACTGCTTACCTACCTTCAGGGACTTCTTTAATGGTCATGTCTACCATTTCGATTGTGTTAAAACCTCTGTCGTCGGTGACAATGGTTGATTGAGAGTCGAGTACGGACCCTGCTTGTATTTCCTTGAACATTGCCATCACTTGAATCATTGTGGGTCGTCTCCAATGACGATCGTCCAAGCAAGCACAAGCTACCTTTAAGTGTTGTAAAAGCTCTATCTCGAGGTTGGGATCCTCTTTCATCAGCTCCTGATCAAAGACGTCACTTATTTTAAGCTTGGCATGCTGTTTCACCCATCCCACAAGATTGTTATCTCCGAAATCGGCTGAGTCTGTAGGCCTTTTCCCCGTTAGCAACTCAAGCAAGACAACGCCGTAACTGTAAACATCACCCTTCGTTGAACATCGGAAGCTCTGGTAGTATTCTGGAGGAACATAGCCGGGGGTGCCAGCTAATGTGCTGACACTCAAATGTGTATCCATTGCACTCATAAGCCTTGCCATCCCAAAATCGGAAACTCTGGCTTCCAAGTTCTCATCAAGCAGGACATTGCTCGATTTCATGTCCCTGTGAATTATATGAGGAATGCAGTTATGGTGCAGAAACGCCAACCCTCTTGCAGCACCAATGGCTATCCTTCTCCTTGCTGCCCAATTCAGTTTGATCCCAGCCTTCTTTTGACCATGCAAAACATCCTCTAAGCTTCCATACATCATGTACTCGTAAACTAGAAGCCGTTCTTCACCCACCTTACAGTAACCCAAGAGTGGAACGAGGTTCCGGTGCTTGATCTTCCCGATGGTTTCCATTTCCGCTGTGAATTCTCGGTCACCTTGTCCACTGATATGTATCAATTTCTTGATAGCAACAACACTCCCATCTTTCAGTTGGGCCTTGTAAACATCACCGAAACCACCAGAGCCGATAAGGCTGTCGTCATGGAAGCCATTAGTGGCTTCTAGAAGATCAGCAAAGGTGAGTTTCCGAAGGGGCTTTTCAAACGTAGCCAGGTTGATGCTCAATGCTTCTCTAGCACCTGTTAGCTTCCAGCTGGTATTTGCTGTGCCGGAGTGGGAACGACTGTCCATATAAACATCAAGAGAAGAATCCTGTTTCTTCCTCCTTTTCTTAGTCTCTACAATAGCTATGATCACACCAAAGATGCAGAAAAGAGAGAACAACAATCCCATTGCCACACTCCCAGCAAGAGAGGCTTGTCTGCGATGAGACTTTCGATGCTCAGAACCCGAAGAAGCCGCTGAATTCTCACAGGGGGAGAGAGGGACCCCACAGAGACCTGTATTATTAAAAAAATCACTAGCCGGAAACGTTTCCAGCTGACCGGTTTCCGGAATCATGCCAGAGAGAAGGTTGTTGGACAGATTAATCTCACTCAGCAACGTGCAGCCGGTCATGGATTGTGGAATTGACCCTTCCAACCTGTTGTAGGAAAGATCAAGAATGCCAAGGCCCTTTAAGTTGCCAATCTCTTGTGGGATGATTCCGGAGATATTGTTGTGACCCAAATTCAAGATGAATAGATATGGCATTGTGCCAATCTCCTTCGGAATAGCCCCCGAAAGCAAATTGTATGAAAGATCAAGAAAAATCATGGAACCATTATCGTTGAACGTAGGCTGCGTGTGACCTCCGTACACTCTGGTAAAGTTGCAAGGGTTCCTGCTGGAAATTCTACCCAACTGTTCCTGACGGATTCCGGCGAATTCGAGTAGATTTCCCGACCCATGGCACTCTTTGCTTCCATCATTCTTGGCATACATATACCTCTTCCCGGCAATGAAATTGACAGCTATTTTACCAGATTGTTTGAAGAGCACCGGAGGGATAGTTCCATTCAAGTAATTTGTATTAAGATCCAACCATATCAAGCTTTGACAATCTCCGAGCTCAGGTGGGATTCTTCCATAGAAGGAGTTATTGCTGAGCTTGAGAATCGCAAGACTCGAAAGTTTTCCAAGCGAAGCTGGAATCTCACCGGTGAACCTATTGTTGGAAAAAGAAATCCAGTTCAACTTGGTACAGTTGCTTAGACCAGAAGGTATTGCTCCACTCAACTCATTGAAGTCGAGAATCAAGGTCTCAAGTGTCTGAATGTTACTTAGCTCCTGAGGGATTTCTCCATGGAGCTGATTCAACCAAAGCCTCAAATCCTTAAGCTTGGAGAGAGCGCCCAAGCTGGTGGGGATGGTACCCGTGAGGTAATTGAAACTCAAATGGAGTGAAACAAGCTGAGAACAATTACTGAGACTAGCAGGAACCGACCCAGTTAAGATATTGTTCTGCAAATAAAGAACTTGTAACCTGTTTGTGGGATTTTCACACAAAGAAACAGGGATTGACCCTGAAAATTTGTTGGAACTGAGATCTAAAACCTCCAGGTTGAAAAGACTGGACAAAGACTCAGGCAAAGGACCCGAGAAGTAATTAAAAGCTAAACCAAGCTTCTTCAAGGAACTCATGTTCTGGAATATCTCAATGGGGAGTTTACCGGTGAAGTTGTTGGTGGATACATCGAAAGACTCCAAGGACAAACAAGAAGCAAAGCCACTAGGAATCGTACCAGAAAGATTGTTTGAAGAAAGATCCAGCTCCACAAGGCTTGAACAAGCTTCCGTTAGATACAGAGGAACCTGTCCTTGAAACTTATTGTCGGCCAAATAAAGATACTGCAACTTGGAAGTCGGCAAAGCTGGAATCCGACCGGAGAACTGGTTGTTTGATAGATTCAAGAAATTTAAGTTCACGCACGAAGAAATCGCAGGGGTAATGTCGAAGGAGAACTTATTGGCTGAGATATCAAGGTGTTCCAAAGCTGAGCAGCCTCCAAATAAAGGAGTCCCCATTGAGAAATTGTTCCAAGAAACATCCAAAATCTTCAATTTTCTGCAATTTGAAACATCTATTTCACCAGCAATCTCGTTTCCTTTCAAAGCCAAGCGCTTCAACTCGTTGCAACCACCATGAAGGATCCAAGGAACAAAGTTTCCAGCAGAAAGCTTGTTGAAAGAAAGATCGAGAACTTCCAAACTCAACTGCAAACCCTTGGATTCTTCACCACCAGAAGACACGAGGCTGTTGGTTGACAGATTGAGAAACTTCAAGTTCGAGCAAGAACCCAAGGCGGAAACGGTTGAAACGGGACCGGACAAGGTGTTTTGAGATAGATCTAAAGCGGTTAACAGGGAGCTGCACTTGGATCCAGAAGGGAAAGAAATGTTGCCAGTGATTCCGGCTTTCAACAAAGAAAGGGATTCCAAGTTTTCCAGAGCTAAAATAAAGGCAGCAACAGAGTGAAAATCCGTGTTTATGGAGGTGTAACTGAGTTCAATAGAGGAAACTCTGGAGCCTTGGCACGTAACACCATTGAAGCTACAAGGGTCTTGGTTAGGAACCCAGTTTTGAAGAACAGATTGGTCGGGCAAGCTGGTTTTGAAGCTGAGAAGTAGCTGAGAATCCCTGTTGTTTGAAGAAGACACAACAGCAGCTTCAAAGGAGACAAGAAATATGAGAATAAGGCGAGAAAAGAAAGCTCCTGAAGCAAACAAAGGTCTCATATTTGTGGGAAAATTCAACTCCTTTCAAATGAAAATGAAAGTAGGAGAAAGAAGGAGTAGGGGTTAGGGTATGAGTCCTTCCATAAAAGAGAAAACAAGAGGGAGCTAGAGCTCTGGTTTCAGGAAAAATGAAAGAGAGATTGGGTCTTGATGAAGGAAAGAGAAAAATGAGAGTCAAAAGAGGAAGTGAAGGTAGTAAGAAGGGTATTTATCAAAGTGGGGGAGTTGAAACAGCTGTTGGCTCACATGCCATGTGACACTCTTCTCCTCTCCTCTCCTCTCCTCCATTTCTGATTTTCTTCTATTAATTAACTAATTATATTTTATTAATAAATCTTACTACTTAATCTAATCCCATTTAATTAATAATTTAAATGGTGATTATAATATGTTTGTCTCTCTAAATTGATGGTTTAAATGCTTCAGATTAGGAGAAGGATCAATCCTTAAACTTCCTCTTAAAATAGAAATTTAAGGGACTGAAACAATAAAAACATAAACTTAAATGACTAAAATAATAAAAATAGAAAGTTAAAGAACTAAATAGAAAAATAGAAAGTTAAAGGGTTGAAACGTAAATATAGAAAGTTAAAGGACTACAATAGCAAATACAGAAATTTAAAAGACTAAAATAGTAAAAGCAGACATTTTGTAACACCCCAACTCGTATTTGACCCGAATACGAGTCTGAGATGTCACATTGACTTTTTAAAACAATATTCATATAAAATAACATAACATTTGAACTTATATTAATAAAATAGGATCATATATTGTTGAATTATGTTCGTTAAAATCAATGTGAAAAAATACGTTTTCATGAACAGTAAAATATGGTATGAACAGTATCGTATGAACAGTACCGAATGTTAAATTTTTCCTGATTGCTTCAGGGGTATCGATACCCTGCTACAGGGTATCGATACATTACTACAGTAACTTCGAAAAACATGTATAAAACTCACGAAAATTTAATCTTTCAACATGATAAAGTTCTCATTTCCTTATATACATTTAAAACGTTACAAACTCGATAAGAAAATATCAGATTCAAATCTTTTATATTACATGCCAACTAAATTCTATATAACAAAATACATGTAATTCAACTACATTTTTTATCTGATCTTCGGTAAGGAGAACTGACATGTCTTATTCCTCTTTACTTCTCTTTTCGCTTTCCAAACTTACGTGTGAAACAATCACACGCTAAGTCGATGACTTAGTGAGGCATGAAAACATGTAACATTACTGTCGAGTTAATCGATTGACGGATTTGGCCAAGAGGTGGGTGAATTGGCAATTAAAAATTTGGTGGAAGCTTTTGCAGAAAATTGAAAGTAATTGCACCGCGATTTAGAGTGGTTTGACTTTCTCAATCAAAGTCTACGTCCACTACCTTAGCTATCCACACTAAGGATTTTCCAACAAATTCACTAATTTGTTCTTTCTTTTGAGGCCAAAGAGATAACCTTACAACACCCTCAAGAATATACCCCAATTCTTGAGAACACTCTTTCCCAAAGAGAAGATTACAAATTTGCAAACTTACAAGGAAAACCTCACAAGGTAAGATGTTTGCACAATTCTAGAACAAGAAAAGAACACTCAAAGATAATTACAAATGAGCACAAATGGTGTTCTTGAAAGCAAAATGAATATTGAAAGGAAAATTGGCTTGATTTGCACAAACTTGGTGTTTGATGCTTTTTCTCTTGTTTTTCTATAATTTCTTGTTGATCAAGGGCTTCAGAACTTGTTTAAATACACCTTGAATCACTTCTGAACGTTGGGGATAATTAATGAAGATAATATAGCCGTTTAAGTGTGAAAACATTTAATAAAAATGCTTGGAGCGTGGGGGGAATCGGTTCCCCCTCATAGGGGATCGGTTCCCTAAGTGTAAAATTCAAATATTTCGACCGTTGAACAGGGGGAATCGGTACCCCTATGGGGGAATCGGTTCCCTTCGAGCATTCTGGAAATCTCGGAGCCAAACCATTCAGGGGGGAATCGGTACCCCCTTGGGGAGGAATCGGTTCCCTCTGAGCAATCTGGAATTTTTGGCTTTGAAATGGTTCGAAATACTTTGAAAGATTATTTTGAAATTGTTTTAAGATTAAAACTTAATTTTACACTTAAGTAAGGATTAAAAATGATTTTTGAAATATTTGGAGTAATGTTTTGATATTCGAATAATTATATCGAATATACTTAGAAAATCATTTGGAAAATCTTAAAATTCATTTAACTTAATTTGTTATATCGAAATATCAAAATATTTTCAACAATCTCCCCCTTTTTGATATAACAAAACATTTTAGTAATTTTAAGATTTTGAAATCAAGTTTTGAAATTACTCCCCCTTACTTTAACACTTCTCCCATTTATCATTTTAAAACACACTTATTTTAAAACACACTTAAAACCACTTCTCCCCCTTTTTGTTAAATCAAAAAGACATTTTAAAGAATTTAAACAAGGTTTTGAAATCAGTTAGCCAATTGATTATATATAATATAAGCTGCTAAGATCACAAGCAAGAGAAACGTTAGCCATTAGTTCCATAATCAATATTCATAAACAATGTGATATTGTAAAATTGATCATATTGCTAATAATGATGTAAATGATACAATAATGAATAAATCACACCAAACATATAAGTTCACACCATCCATAAATCCAAACAAATTCACAATCCACAAATTCAAACATTCCAAAATATTCAAAATGTTAAAACAATAAGTTTGGAAAACATTTAATCAAATATCCGGATCAGGAGGAGAAAACGAGCTCGCATAGCGGCCATTTCGTTAGTGAGGTCATTAATACGTGCGTTGGTTGCTTCATTATTTGCACGCATTTCCCGAAGAATTTCTAATTGTTGAGCTCCCATTCTGGATAAATGAGACTCTATAGAAGTAAAGCGCGAATCCATGGTCACATATCGGTAATCAAATATCTCCATAAAAGATTGAAAATATGGAGGCATTTGAGTCGATTGTTGTGCTTGCTCTTCGGGCTGCTCCTCGGGCTGCTCAGGTTCATCTTCAGCTTCATCGATGTCTCGCATTAATTGCTCAAGCTCGAGATCGTCGTCAGCTTCGGGTGGAGCTTGTGAAGAACTAGCTCCCGGAGTAGTTGCAGAAGATCAAACACATTCACCGGTTTCTTTATTTTTGACCCATCCCGCTCTTGTTAAAGAAAGAAGATTGATTTGTTTCTTAAGAGGAAAAGCGGCATCTAGACCAACTCGAAGCTCGGCTTTAGAAAAGAGATTACTAAGGATACAACCGTAAACTAGTGAAGAACAGAGTTTTTTATTTGGAACTAGGTTAACGGTTTCAACAATCTCAGCAAAGATAATCTCGGAAAGGTTTATTTTTATGTTGTGTTCAAAATAATGCAACCACCAAAGGTCTAAAGCTCTGAGAGTAGAATAACGACCCCCAGATGGTCGAAACCACCAAGTGGTCATGAGATGAAGAAAACGCTCATGAAGATCTAGAACACTTGCACTATCATTTCGTTTAAATCGTGAGCCTAAAACTTGTTTTTCATTTGATAAACCTTCATTATCCAAGCCTAAGGAATTGGCTATGTAATCCGGATCAAGATGAAAATATTGACCTAGGAGGTAGAAACGTACTCCTATGGTTTTAGTTTTGTCACGATTTTTGATACAAACGGCATTACAGTAGAAGATACGAACAAGTTGATGATAGACAACGGATTCAAGTTCGAAAAGTTTATCCCATTCGTGCAAGATAGGGAGATATTTAAAGTTAATAGCAACCATAGCTTGAAGAGATGGGATACGTTCTTCCCTAATCTTATACGAGTCAAAATATTGGTAAAACCAATAACGATAATCTTTAGGACCCGGTTGATTGAAACAAGAATTTTGGATAGTCAAGTTAGGATCAAGATTTGGAATAGGATTTTGAGGAATAGGAGGAGGATTTGGATGTGGATTTGGTTGACGACTAGAACGACTAGATGAAGACCTAGCACGTTTAGGATTAGACATGGTGAAGGAAATCAGAATAGATTGGATAACTTGCAATTTTAAAAACAAATGTATGCAATTCAATTAATCCCAAAACTCAATTGAGTCCTCAATATTTCAAGGTTCTCTAAATCAATCCTAATGGGCAAAGTTTTTGAAAAACTTTTGAAAAATATGGTTTTGAGAAACAATATATGTATAGTTTTCATAACAACAACATAATTTTTGATGAAATTAGTTGTAACATCTAGTTTCTAATAACTAAACAATCAATGCCCGATCACTATTTCAACCTAGAACTAATTAAAACTAATCCTATGTTCAAAATTAATGGAATAGAGAGTTTAGAAAAATTTACCTTGAAAGATGAAGATTGAGGGGATTTAGATGTTGTTTGCACGATTTTAATGATTCCAACAGGTTTAGAAGATGATATTTGAATCGAATTCCGATTAATATCGTTGATTTGAGGCAAAAATGAAGATTTGAGAAAAGTTGAGAGAGAGAACGGCGGAAGGGTTTTGGGGTTTTGGGTGTTCTGTCCGATTTTAACAGAACCCTAGGGGGGTATCGATTCCCCTGTGGGGGAATCGGTTCCCCTTCAAAGGGGGAATCAGTTCCCTCATGGGGGATCGATTCCCTCTGCACCAAAATGCTAAAATCCGATTTTTAAGCACACAAAATGCTAAATTAATCTTCTCTAGTGGTATAGGCAACTCATATATTGAAAAATAATTATGTTCAAACAATTAAATTAATCTTTAATCAATATTTGAACATAAAGTTAATTTTTCATCAAGAATCATAAACTCCCCCTAACTAATAGCAATGAATGCAATCAAAAATTATTATTAGCATTTTTCAGTATTTATTAAAAGTGCTGAATTATTTTAAACACTAAGTGAAGATAGGTCAGTTAAACCTAATTCTCTCCTAAGTGTCCAAAACCTTTCCTTATCTAAGGGTTTTGTAAAAATATCCTCTAATTGATGCAAAGTATCAACAAATTCTAGAACTACATCTTCCTTAGTGACATGGTCTCTAATGAAGTGATGTCTAATTTCAATGTGTTTAGTTCTAGAGTGTTGGATGGGATTTTTAGTGAGACAAATAACACTAGTATTGTCACACTTGATAGGAATAGTACCTACTTCA